GTAAATAAAGTGACAATGTTAAATTATCCATGCACGCTCTCCATGATATCAGGGTAAGTTACATATGTTCATACACAATATAACGATATTCTATACAAATCTTGACTTGTCAACATGATACATTGTGGCATAAAAAGTCTTGCAATGGTTTCATTGATTGGTTGAGAAGCTCCAGCATTTTTTTAAATGTAAACATTGTGTGCCAGCTATATACGTTAGTTTTTTCCGTGTTCACATCTTTGGCTTTGCATAAATATGTATTTCATCAGTCATCTAGAAATAATAAATACAAATTATGTAGTGTTGACCTAATTATATGACAAATATACTTATAATATATGTGCGTGAAACGTATTACCTTGTCAATATCTAATATTGCTTGCAATGTCGTCATTAACTGCTGAAATGACGGTCTCATTTTGGGATTATCTGCCCAACAATTTTCCATAGTGGAATATCTGTATGATGAATAATTCATACAATAAATGGTCAAATATATCAAAAGTACAGTCACCAATTACACCAAATTAAACATTACTCTGTTACAGTATAAATAAAACTTAATCAGTGTCACATGATATCGTCATATACACTCACACGTCTTGACGACATTTATCCGGTCTTGCCATTCGATATCCTTGATTCATGGACTCTATCACTTCCTGTGTTGACATATCGTTGTATGGTACATCTCCTATAATATTATTACAACGTTGATTTACTGACACATTACAATATCAAATAATTAACAAGAGATATGACAACCAATGCAACCACAATAGTTCAAGTAGCCATGTATATTAGGAAGCTAGTTAATTAACTAAGAGAATTTAGCCTGTATAGTTGATTTAATAATTTACCCTTGCAAGATTGAAACAATTGTGCTTACACCAACATTTATGTAATACATATACCCAATCCAATCTCCATGTATGATAATGTATACTGTTTATTTATTGTCCGCTGCAAGGTTTAAGGGTGTCTGAAGTTAGTTTTAATCAAATATTATCTACCTAGTGTTGCTATCTCCCATAAAACGATACCGTATGACCAAACATCGCTCTTGCTTGTATACACTCCATCTAATATAGACTCTGGTGCCATCCAGCGTACGGGTAAACGTCCCTGAAAAAATATCAATTAGATCTCCTTTTTTCATTGACCAACATTATTTAAGTTATGCAATATCAGCAGCAAAGTAGTAATGTTGCTTACCTGAGTCCTTCTCTCATATTCACGTTGATCCAGGACATCGGTTGCCAATCCAAATCCAG